TCTAGTATGGAATTGTCTTTACCAGTTGATTCTTTTCTTTGGTTCAGTGGCTTAGTTTTTGCCTTATCATTTCTGACTGTCCTCTTGTTCCAGCTGCTTCATGCCATCCTGGCCTCTTGCCCCTTTAAACTAGTTCCCTTGCTCCACCACTAGTCTCAGCATTTGGACAATGTAATTCATTGGAAGTTTCAGATAGAGTTAGAGTGATCACCTCCTGGAGTAATCATATAAGATATTCAAATGCTGGATGAGAACTTGGCCTGGTCATCTCTAAAGCAGATTTGTCAACCAGGGACCAAGTACACAAGTACAGAGTTGCTGAGGGTGCTTATTCAAAATATGATTCCTGGGACCAGCAGTTGGTGTAATGGCTTTGTTGCTGGACTCCCATGTGGTCGACCGCGGTTTGAGTCCCTGACCTGGCAGCTTAAACTCACGCTGGGCACCTGTGCATGTGCACCCAAGATCCCGAGAGGAGAATGGAGGAGACGAGATTGCAGCGTGGCCACCACCCCCCCACCTGGGGGTGATTTCTCACTTTCTGTCTCTCTGTCTTTCTGGCAAGTGCATGTGCCCTATAGCAAAACCTCTCAATAAATAAATAAATATGATTCCTTTGCCCCATCCCAAAGTATTACCTCAAAATATCCTGAGTTTAAACTCCTGAATTGTATTTCGTAAGCCCTCCAAGTGATTGTGATGCACATCTGTTTTTGGAAACTCTAAGATCTTATTTAGTTATAAGATTCAGTGATTACAACACTCCAATCAGAATCCAATTTGCTGTTCCAAGAGAACAGTTACGAAAGTATTTTGTGCACTGGCAGCATCATTACATTAAGCATAAAGCTTTCTGAGCACTTCACATTAAGTGAAAAAGCACTCCTTTGAATGTATAAATTTTGACACACCACAGTAGAGGCATACCTCGTGCCCATTTTTTCTAGCACATATATCTAATGGGTTTTCTTTAGTTATATACAAGATGTTAATGAGTTCTATATGAAGAGTTCAAGAATATATCTTACATAAACAATGGTGAATGTATCCTATACAAAGCATTTAGAAATTAGGATGATAATTACATTTAGATACAAGCAATTAAGATTTAGCAGACCAGCAAGAAAAAAAGGGGGGGGAGGGAATTAAAGCCTTTGAAGTAATTATTTATGTGTTTTTTTAGTTGATTCTTTTAACTAATGAAAGGATTCCTGTCTCATATACCACATATCATGTTTCCTAGATCAGTAAATTTCCTATGGACATTTGTAGTTCATGACCTAGCAATGGAAGCAGGTCTCTATATAATTAACCAAAAGAGATTATGAATGGCATTGTCAAATCAGTGCTATAAATAAACTGTTATGGAAAAATAAAGATAAGTATGATTAATTCTTATTTTTGTAAAAGAGTCCCTTTAAGGGGCAAATTTATAAATATAGGCATAAACCCTATATTATACTGAATAATCCGAGATTGAATTCTAACATTCAAGCAGCATGTGTAAACACAGATGACTGAAAATGTGGATACTGGTATATTCATTAGCAACAAGACAAGTATTTGTAACTAATAGCCTATAAAATAATACTTTATGTTTAGTTTGGGCTGTCCACATAATTTCTTAAAGTTAAAAGCAGTTTGTTTCCATACTAAATTCACAAATATTTAGAATGAAAGTGCATTTTTCCCAGGGCCAGCAGATGGTATGGTAGTTAATGTGCTGAACTCTCACATGGTTGATTAAGGTTCAAGTCCCAACTTAGCAGCTTGCTTTCTCATTCTCTCTCCGATGACTGCCCATAGCAAAATTCGAATAATAATAAATTAAATCGTTCTCTTTTTAAAAGTACATTTTCCTAGAGACCAGCCGTTGGCGTAATGGCTATGTCGCTGGACTCCCATGTAGTTGACCACAGTTGGAGTCCCGGACACTGTGGCTTAAACTCACGCCAGCTGCGTGTGCGTGCATGCCCAAGATCCCAAGAGGAGAATGGAGGAGAAGGGACTGTGGCGTGGCCATCCCCTCTGGGGGGTGATTTCTCGCTTTCTATCTCTCTGTCTCTCTCTGTCTTTCTGGTGAGCGCATGTGCCCTATAGCAAAAGACTCTCCAAACAAGAAAAAAAAAGTACATTTTCCTATAGAACAAAAAATTTGCAAAGTGTGCTAAGGATCCCAAGCTCACTCACAATTCCTATTAGGCCCCTTAGTACTACTCATGCTACTGTCTGAAACCCGAGATCCTGAAGGACAAAATTAAAGAGGAATGAATCTTTCCTGTACTTCCTACAATACCACAGCCTTGAGACATATTCCAGAACCACATGCTCCTTCACAACCACTACTTACTGTTACTCCCTCTACCTCCTAGTAACTGTCGATATTCAGAGCTACTTCCTGCAACACCTTTGATCATTCAGTATGGCAAGTTAACAGGAAAACCTTACTCCTTTATAGATTAGAATTTGGTTTGGCTGCATATGTCAGAGAAATAAAATCTAAAAGTTGCTGAAACAAGGGTGTTGTGGACTTAGGCCCCCTCTGTTTTTCTCTTTTAAGCCTAGAACATGCCTTTTGTCCCTGCAATTAAAGTCCAAGATAATATTTGGGGTGTTCTAGTGTTCACATTTATATTCTGGACAGCCGAAGGAGACAGCGAGGACAGGCCAAGAAGGGTACCTTCTAAGATAAGTCATTTTCTTTTAAGGCATCCCTTTTTTACATGGTATTGGCAAAAGCCTAGTCATATGTCACAGTTGACTGCAATGGTTGCCGGAAAATGTAGTGCTGTTGCTGTATCCTTTGCCATCCCAAATGGAACTGGAGCTCTGTTACTAAAGATAAAGGGAAGAATGGGTGTTCATAGGCCATTAGCGATCTCTGCCATATTCCTCAAATGCCCAGTGCTCTAGATTATGGATCTTCTTTCCTTCTCACCCAATGAAGTTGTACCAATTCCATTTAAAAAAAAAAAAAAAGGCTAATTGACATAAATGATTCTCCTAAAGCAATGATTCTCAGCTTTGGTTGTACATAAGAATTTGGAGTGTCTTACAAATCCTGATGTCCAGGCCAATAAAGTCAGAAACTTGAGCAGTGAGACCCAGGTCTCAGTATTAAATATATATACATATAATGCATATATATGCATATATATATGTGTGTGTGTGTGTGTGTATGTATATATATTTGATTCCAGTGTACAGCCAAGTTTGAAATTCACTGTCCTAAGAAATATTTTTTAAAAAAGGAAACCCAAATTTTGCTACATTTTGTAACCATTTCCTGCTACATAATCAAGTGATAATAAAAAGAACACAAACAAACAACAACAACAAAAATCCCTTCATGCCATGGGTGGGTCAGCATCCTGGTAGCTAAAGGAGCTGAATCCCACATGGCCCCTGCGGTTTCGATCTCAGCCCCAGGATCTTAAAAAGCACACTGGCTTGGTCTTCTGTCTGCCCCAAGTCCCAATGGAGAAATAGAGAAGGGATTGCAGCATGACCATGCCCCATGCCCTGTTGTGGGGAAATTTCTCCTTCTTTCTGTCTCTCTCTGGCGAATGGACATGCTTTCTGGTAATTAAAATAAAAGTAACAAAACTTCATGCTGTGAGTACAGAGTAATTTTGCAGTAGTGGTACTTCCTCTGGGCACCAATTGCTTGCTTTTGGAGGGGTCAGAGTTTTTCATAAAAACTACTGTTCTCCCCCTATTTTCAATAGCATCTTCTCTTCTATAATATTTAAACTACAGGATTCCCTGGAAATCTCAACTTTACCATTGTTGGTCATCTTTACTGTTTTTTTTTTTTTTTTTTTTCTCAACTGAACACTTCTACTTTATAGGGATGCTATAAAATAAAAACAAAAATGGGAACTATAACTTAGAATCAAAAAGCTTCTCATGCTGTGAAAATGAAGGCAGAGTGAAGGGCTGGGTTTGAAACTATAATAATATGGAAAGTTTTAATGACCTAAGACATATGCAGTGATTTTTTTTTTTTTTTTTAGAGATTTTCACTGTAGGGCGCGTGTGCTCGCCAGACAGACAGACAGAGACATAGAGACAGAAAGCGAGAAATCACTCCCCAGGGGGGATATTCACGCCGCAATCCCTTCTCCTCCATTCTCCTCTCGGGATCTTGGGCACACATGCACACGCGCCCGGCGTGAGTTTTAAGTCACCGGGTCCGGGACACGAACCACAGTCGATTACGTGGGAGTCCAGCGACATAGCCATTACGCTAACTGCTGGTTCCCGGTCATCTTTACTTTTCATAAATTCTCACATCCATTCACACACTTTAGCTCTGAAATAGTTCTCAAGGTTGTCAACATTTCCTATCTCATCCAAAAATCCCGAGATGAACTAAAAGGACATTTAAAATACACACATGTGCACACATGTGCACGTGTGCACAGTCCCATCCAGTCACTTCTCTACTCTATCTAGATTCTACAGTAACTTCGTTCTAACCTAGGACTCTCTGACCTACAAGATCCTCCTCCTGCCAATCCCCTAACCCCATCTTAGGCCACTCATCACCCTCTTCTACAGGGCCTCCTTCTATGCCTCCTTTCCTTAGTGTTAACCTCTGCTTGCCAATCCCACCAAGCCCCAACCTCGGTGAAACCAAGGCATTTGTTTGCTAATTCCAATTGACCGCCTTCACTGCTCCCACAGACAGGAAGAAGTACCATGCAGTACTTCACAGCCCTTATCAGGTTAGAAGTAATTGTTTTAAAGGTCACTATTTTTTAAGAGGGTGGGGAGCATGCTCTTCATTATTTTGTTTCAGAACCTACAATAGCTCCTACATAGAGTACATACTCAGGACAGGAAGACAAAGGTTTTCTGAATGACTGTGTGCAAGAATGAGTGGTATGGGATGCTGATATTAGAAAGGGAGATGGGAAACAAATGGAAATGGTCATCAACAGCTGTTCATAACACAGGAGCACGTGACCAAGTAAACGTCTCTCCCCTTTTTCCAGGTTGCGATTTGATCCCGGTCCAGTATCTTCGCTGGGGTGACCCTGAGCCCATTGCAGCTGTGGTCTTCGCCTGCCTTGGCCTGCTAGCCACCCTGTTCGTCACTGCAGTCTTTATCATTTACCGCGATACACCAGTAGTCAAGTCCTCCAGCAGGGAGCTCTGCTACATTATCCTTGCTGGCATCTGCCTGGGCTACTTGTGTACCTTCTGCCTCATTGCAAAGCCCAAACAGATTTATTGCTACCTTCAGAGAATTGGCATTGGTCTCTCCCCAGCCATGAGCTACTCGGCCCTTGTAACCAAGACCAACCGCATTGCAAGGATCCTGGCTGGCAGCAAGAAGAAGATCTGTACCAAAAAGCCCAGATTCATGAGTGCCTGTGCCCAACTTGTGATTGCTTTCATTCTCATCTGCATCCAGTTGGGCATCATTGTTGCTCTCTTTATCATGGAGCCTCCTGACATCATGCACGACTACCCAAGCATTCGAGAAGTCTACCTGATTTGTAACACTACTAACCTAGGAGTTGTCACCCCTCTTGGATACAATGGATTGTTGATTTTGAGCTGCACGTTCTATGCATTCAAGACCAGAAATGTTCCAGCTAATTTCAACGAGGCCAAGTATATCGCCTTCACAATGTACACGACCTGCATCATATGGCTGGCCTTTGTGCCCATCTACTTTGGCAGCAACTACAAAATCATCACCATGTGTTTCTCAGTCAGCCTCAGTGCCACAGTGGCCCTAGGCTGCATGTTTGTGCCGAAGGTGTACATCATCCTGGCCAAACCAGAGAGAAACGTGCGCAGCGCCTTCACGACGTCTACCGTGGTGCGCATGCACGTGGGGGATGGCAAGTCCTCCTCTGCGGCCAGCAGATCCAGCAGTCTCGTCAACTTGTGGAAGAGGAGGGGCTCCTCTGGGGAAACCCTAAGGTAAAAGTTGTGGGGACCTAGTGGGCCACTGGCCCCTATAGCTGAAACAGTAGCATTTGCTTCCTGGGTCTTTTAAATAGGAGAGATCCGAGCAAATGAAACTGTGAAAAGCTGGGTGCCTCGGGACTTGGCCCTTGTCATCGAATGTTTTTTGTGGGGTTAATTGGATGTGGGTTGAGTTACTTAGGCTAAGTCTAGAAATATGGAAGTTGAGACAGTGAAAAAAGCAGAGTTAGAGCAAAAGAGGAAAGAGGTCAGGAGGGCAGGGAGAACAGAGTAAAGTCACTGAGCCCAGGCAAGGACCTCCAAGTCCTAAGGGGACAGAGATTTATTGTGGGCTAAATTCTAGTTCAGCAGATAGAGAGGATTATTAACAGAGAAGTTTATACTGGGAGCAAAATGCTAAGTCTTCCACATCTGACCACACTCGCCTGTGCCTACATTTTGTTCAAGCCCAGAAGAGCCCTTCAGTGCCCATCTACACGAGAATGTAGCATTCAGATATTAGATCTTAATGAGCAAGTGCAACTCTTGGAGAGATGTCTAAATTGTTGAAAATGGCAAAACAACAAAGTGGCTTTCATATAATTGTCTTAAACAACCAGTCGATTTCCTGAACTCAGTATCATAAGGGGTTACTGGACAGTTTCTATCTGAAATTTCTATCTAGAGTCCACAGCCAGCGACTTCCCTCAGGCAAGGGATTTTCTTATGTGATAAATGACCCCAAAGTACTTCAAAAAATGAGATTATGTTATCAGTGGCTCATGAACAAATTCTTAGATATTAAAAAAGCCTACATAGATTATTGATAATTAGAAATAAAGGTCCCCTTATTCCCTTCTGTTGGGAATAAATAGCTTCTCTACTTAAGAAATATATATATCAAAAGAGCTAGTCAAGTTATCAGCCCTGCTAAGTCTGCTGAGATTTGACAGTATTTCTAATAGCTCAATAAATAAATGGAAGATAAGTGTCTTTCAAATGGCAGATAAATATCTAAATAATATTGCTTGAACTATTCTCCTATACCATCATGTGGCCTGCAGGGAAATCTTACTTTTCTATCAGTTCTAATTCTTCAAAGCATGAATTAAGGTGATGGTAAATATACTCTAGCTGCTGAGTTTTGAAAAGGACTCATCGTACTTGAAGTTTATCCACAGGGCCTAATTTATTTGCATTATAAACTTGTCCCTTTGCCTCTTTCAATTCTTTTCTAAGTCCTTTACACTCTTCATCTCTTTCCGTGTACACTGTGCAAGATAGTCAACTGCATTGTAAATCGCGTCTTCTCCTTCTTCAATAAAAACTGGCGATGTCATGGTCTGTACACAGAAGACCTGCCATATATCTAACCTGCTGGCATATTTTTCATCTGCCTTCCCAACTCCTCTATGAAACATTCTTCTTTTGAAAATTCTGCAAGATCAGCCTTTCATTTTGGCGAACAAAATTTATATTTCCAACTTTTATCAGCTTTTCTTCAAGCCCCTTCTTCAAACAAAACCTCTCAGGGAAGCCTCATATAAAACAAAGTGAGAGAATTGTGAGTCTATACCTCTGCACCTCAAAATCGGATGGGTCCTTAGAGAGAAAGCATGGAATGACAGCAAAGTATACTGTCTGTGTACCCAGGGTATTCTTAGAACTGGCACTGCTGTCTCGTTTTGGTAACTTGGTTTCTTTACATGAAAAATTGGGATTATATTACCTACATAATAAATGAAAGAGCTAATTTGTAAAAAGGCTAGTCACACAGCAGACTTTATTGATGGTCTTAATTTATTACACTGGCATTAAATGCTGTAGCATTGCTTACCAGCTGTATACCCTGGGCAAATTTACTCAACTTTTCTATGCTTCTTTTTCCTCTTCCAATAAATGGAGATAATGAAATACATATTTTGTAGAGTGGCTGTGAGGACTAAATGAGTCGTGTAATATGTAATGGAGTGTAATATGTATAGTATCTGCCACACAGTAAGCACTTAAATATTTTCTATTTTGGCGAACAAAGTTAACAATTGTCAGATATCTTCCACACTTAAAAGTCTCAGTTGCATATGCTATCAGGAGGACCTTAATAGCAAAGAGAGCATTATCAAAGGCAGTGCCCAGCTTCCTTTAACTTTGATTCTACAGCCTGGGGTTTCCAGGGCATCTCCATCTTTATGCTGTTTACCTCCTTGCCAGTCTGTATTGCACAACCTGTCTTCCAACTGAAGCAGAGAAGGCTGGGAGTAGGGGCCTTACCTGCATTGTTCTACAGTGTCTCTACCCAGCTGTAGAATATACTTGGCACAGGGAAGACACTCAATAACGAATAGTTGGTATGTGTGTTGAGTGAATGAATTTGGGAAGGTGGTGATATGGTAGGGACTTTTTGCATATCTTCCATTGTGCACATTACTGCTCTCCAATGGTTGTAATAACTCTCAGAACATTAATTCTACAGTGTCCTATGTTACAAATAGCCTTTGTGCTCCTGTGGTCATCAGGCCCTGCTTGAGAATCAGGTTATGAATCTCATTTGTTGACCTCATACTTGGCTATAGTTCTAATGTTCCTCTAGTAACATTTGATAAATATTTTCAACTATTTCATTTCTACATTCACAAAAGAACAAAACAAATTTTACTAATAATGCCAACGGAAAACAGAAATTATGAGGATTTTATAATGTTGCTTTAGCTTGTTTTCCTTCCAAGGCCATGCATGTAGTTCTTGATCACTGGATTGTGCAGCCAGTGCATTTGGGTATTAGAATCTCAAAGTGGGTAAGGAGGGGCTTTGGGCAATTGTTGAGTTTTCTTTTTGCCATCTTAGCAAATAGTTTGCATGATGACAACCAAGAGAAGCTATAGTCTTATCTAAAGATGTTTTACTTGCCATCAACTTGCTTTTGATAAGACAGAAAGAAAAGGGCAGAGAAAGCTTTAATACCCTTGCATAACATACATTCCAAACCTTCTCCCCTTTGGAAGCCATACAATTCAGAGATCCAAACTAAAATTCTTTTCTTCCATGGTATCCATGTGCTCCTATACTAAATATTTCTAATCTGTGATACACAACCAAGATGTTCATATATCTTACATTTATTGCATGTACAATATAACTGGCTATGGAGGGATTTATCTTTCCTTTGAATTTGTAATTTTATAAAGGTCAGTGTATAGCATGTTGTCTGTCACACTGGAGTTCAAATTAATGGAGAACAAATAAACTTGGGTGTTTCTAATATAGTTTATGTTTTATTCTAAATGTATGGGATTAGTTGTGCATCTTGGGCTTAAAGTCTATAGTATGCCAAAGAGCACATATATTCAGATTTAAGATGAGCTTAAATAGTTAACTCAGATCTCTGGAGGTAAGTCTTTGAGAAGCAGCAGCTACTATGCTGAAACCAGTCCTGTTCTGTTATCTACACTCTGGCACATGGAAAAGCACCTGCTGTAAACCCGAACTGGGTCTGAGTCCTGTTTCTAGATGAAGCTGATGCATGTTTATGGCAAACAGCAAGCGATATTCATTTTAAAGAGGATACTGATTGCATATTTTAGAGTGAAGAATACAGTACTACTTCCTGAAGCAATAGTGACTGGGTTTCCAAAAGTAGGTATGAACTCCTGGAGAAGTGTACACAGTTAGGAGATACAAAGACAGCTATTAATCTATACTTCTGGCTTCACAACCATGCCTGGATTTCAATCCAGCTGTGTGGATTTGCACAATGTACTTTAGCCTGTTTTCTCAACGGCAAAATGATATAATTCCAGGTAGCACAAAGCCTATATTCAAAGGCTCATATTATCTAGGGGGTCTCATTTGCTTCATGTTTCAGAGAGTATGGAGGGATACTGCTCCTGGTATTGGCTCAGTCATGCCAGTTCCAGGCCCTGGGTCTTGTACTAATAGTTGTAAGACTGCTGTCAGGACTCCAAGCATTGCAGCCCCCTCTGTTAGGGAAAACAGAAGTCTCAGGGTCCCATGAAAATTGCCCTTCTGTCTCATTGGTCAAAAGTATCAGAGAGTATGAGAAAATATGTAGTTAGCCCATTGGCCTCTATAATCGAAATCAAAAGGAATTAGTATTTGTTGAATAAGCCAATGAATACTGTCTACCACAGAATGTGGTAGTACCTAGTAGTAATAGTGGTAGTGGTAGTAGAAAAAAGGAGAGGGGGGAGAAGAGAAGTAAAGAATAAATGGAAAAGCAGCACAGACTAAGAGCTTGGGAATAAAACTGCAAATCAGATAGTCCTTCTAAATTTATCACCCATCTACTCTGTTCTACACCTAATAGAACTTATATCAATATTAATACTCTAAAATTTCTGACTGTCACAGAATACTGAAAGTAGAAGCTATCATCCTTTCTGTTTTTCAGTGAAGAATTAGAGGTTTGGCATGATTAGAAGACTTGCCCATGACTAGTAAGTGATGGAGCAGTTTTTAAGTCAGATCTTATTAGGTTTATTGGGAAAACTATGATATGCTTTTGCATAGAAAAACATAGAAAAATATGTCATGACTTTTCTGACAACCTAATATATTTTAAAAAGGTATCCTTGTGATAATAAATTGCCAATATTTGATTGATTTTGACTACAGATTACAAAATGGTTAAGTCTAGTGAATTAAAATTAGAATTTAAGAGAAAAAGAAATACCATTTCACCTA